ATGACCAGCAGACATTAACTAGGCCAGCCAACTAGTTTAGCAGTTGGTTGCTCACATATAAACTGCTTTGAGAAGAAGCCAACACATTTTAATATCTGCAAAATTATGTTCCATCAACTGTAATTATATCTGAACCAGATGAAATGAAACCATATAAAGTGCAAATTGCTTGGTAGCAAATTTTGACAAATGTAACTGACCTTTATCTGTAATTTCATGCATCTTCATAATAAACTCTGCTTCTGACAAGAGGTTTGTTTTTTCACGACAAAGGGTCACCCACACAACACTAGAATTTAGGATAAGCATTTCCATTAAATTAGTAATGTTAACTACAACCATAGACAAATTGTATTGGGAAATTAATGTGCAAAAATATGAAATCATAACCGTAACACCTACAAAATAAGTGTCAGCACCCCCATCCCCCCTTTCAATGTTGGAAAATTGTAAAGTGCTGAAAGTGTTATGACACCATTGCACAGGGGTGGGGTAGGGCAAAATGCATAGAGAATGACGTTTTCCAACCCCTGTGACCAAGTTTGTAGGTTTCATGAAATACGAGCTCCAAGATGAGCATTTGCCAYGGAAATTACCCCTGCAGGTTTCAACCATTTACGAGATTATGACAGCTTCCTGGTTTATTCACTTTATTTGAAAATACTTTTTTTCAAAATACAATGTAACTCAACCGCCTTTTGAGATCTTCAATATATTTCTTTTGTAAACATTAGATAAAATGACTGATTAAATTTAAAAGAAAAAACTATTTTTTGTGCCCTTGATGGTGGGAAGTAACCTTAACCCTAGCACTTAATGTTTGGTTGACCAACCTTTGCTCATAATCCACTTTTTCCAGCATTGCCCAAACAGGTGGTTGAAATGTTTCATCAAATGAAATACAAAGTAAATTTCCATACCGAAGCCAATTTGTGGACCTATAGAAAAGATAAATAAGAATTGTAAACCTGGATGCATGCTTTTTCTCCAACAGACTAATATTAAATACAATTTTATTTAAATTTCTTCATAGGCATGTCATAGAGTAAGAAATATATTTATTACATCATCACTAATTATATAAGTTAGTTCACATTTTAACTATAAAAGTTGTGATTAATTACAATTATGGTAGTTTTCAGGTCTAACTTAATATTTTAATAATTGTAATTATGACACTATTGTCAATTATTATTTTAGAAATGGCAAAAAATGCTCACCCCCAGTCAATAGTTTCCTGAGAATCCAGTTTACATGTAAATTCTAATTGAATTGACATGGTAGTTGGAGAGTTTTCGCGATGCTTGGTGAGAAGACCTTTCAACGAAATCCTAAAATCAACATTCTAAATATTAATAACTTACAGTGGCAAGAATCTTTTAATTGATAATTATTAGAACTTCTTTTGATATCACAGTTAGTGCTTGATAGTATAACTGCGATTTCAGTGTTTTTAATTAAAGGAACAGTGTTTCAGCTGATTGTCAAAAGGTCTCTTTTACTAATTTCCATTCTATGTTTACTTACCTAATACCACAAACTATGGAGAAAAACTGGATAAAAAGATTCTAAGCTCAGAACAAAAGAAGCTGATTTTTTTCGGGGAATTTGAAGAAGTGCAGGCTAGGATTAAAAGAATAAATGAAGTGGATAGTAATACAGAAGTTCATCATAATTATTTTATATTTTTTGACCGAATGTCAAGAAATAAATCGCCACTCTGATAAAATTTTGAATCTTTTAGTCATCCTTCATCTGTTTAGATGCTGTAATTTTCTTAACCTTTGAAAACTCTTTGATGACTGTACTTCTTTTTTCTCTACATACTATTGCACAATATATAATATAAAAGCAAAGAGCTTGTAAAACTAAAGAAACCATTATTCTTTGGCACCTTATACACACTTCATGTGTAATACCGCATCACTATTTAATAGGTGCCCAGGAGACACATTTATATAAAGTGTATAATTATATAGCTACCCATTTCTCCTGGTATTGCAGGATGGATAAGAAATTAACAAACATCAAGACATAAGTATTAAGCACATTTAGAATACTCTCTT